CTAATAAAAGTAACCAACTGATTACAAAATTACTCCAAAAAGTAATCGATTACAAGTAATTTGATTTTTTGTAATGCTTACGGTACAAGTCTGCTTCTCGTAGAGTTTTCTTGTAGCACATATTTTGCCAGTGGCCTTTCTTGCCACATGAGTGACATTTGGACGTGGATGCCGGGCAGTTGCTCTTTTCATGAAAGCTTTGTCCGCCGCACTTCCCGCAACCGTGTAGCGGGCTCTTCCACCCCGCAGTCTCGTTTGTTTGGTCTCCGGAACTGGAGCGGCCTTTACTCGACGTTTTCCGGAGGGCGTCGACAGACAGTTCTTCTGCTTGGTTCTCCTGGCGCACGACAGCCTGCTGCCTTCGTACGGCTTCCGTTTGTCTCGCCTTTTGTAACGCCTTCTCCAGGGTGAGTTCGGGATCAGTTTGTAACGTCTCTGACAGCTTCCCGTCCTGTAAGCCGACCACCAGGCGGTCGCGCACCAATTCTTCTTTGAGTGCTCCGTACCCGCAGTTGGCCACCAGTCTGTGTAGGGACGTCACGAAGGCCTCGACGGTCTCGCCAGGTTCTTGCTTGTGCTGATGAAACCTCGCTCGCTCGTAAATAACGTTTCTTTTTCCGATGCAATGATTTTGGAATACTTCCAGCACCTTTTCGAAGTCCACTTTGTCTTCTTCCGTCAGCGTTGTTGAGGCGAGTATGTCCTCGGCATCTCCCCTTAGGCAGTAGATTAGAGCGTCTACTTGAGCTGCTCCTTCTTCCTTCATGAGTCGCGAGACCCTTCTGTACCTGAGGAAACGACTGGACCAGGCCGTCCACTCCTCTGGGCGTTGAAAATCGAACGCCGTCGGTGGCGCGAAACCGAAGGCTGGCCTGGGGTGCTATGTTGCGCTTTTTGGACTCCCAGGAGACTAGGGAGAGGGAAGTGACGTCAACGACACAGCAAACGCAGATTGGGTGTTGATTTCGTTTTCTTCTTTCAACATCCAATCTGCGTTTGCTCTAGTCGTTGACGTCACTTCCCTCTTCCAAGTCTCCTGGGAGTCCAAAAAGCGCAACATAGCCCCCCTGGTTTCCCGATGCTCGCCCGCCGCCATCTTGACCGGTTGCGGTTAAGTGTTCTCAGCTAGGCTTAGCTCTTGGCCTCTGACGTACCCGGACTACCCGACCGTTTTCTTTCTTCCCGGTCGGACGCCTCTTCTGCTGTGACCGCCGCTCGTCACGCCTGCCCTTTTCACTGCTGTGGCCGCTCGCATCCCACTTCTGACACCATGTCGTGATAATTCGAATTGACCACACAGAGGGAGACAGAACAGCACCAGCGAGCTGGGTTAAGCACGCGCCCCCAACTGGCTGCCCCCTCTCGGGGTTTTATTGAAATGCATAAACGTGATTATTACCACAGTAATAGCGTTGCTGAACGACCTGCCAATACTGGGAAGGGGGGGAGGGTCGATATTAATCAAATGATCTCCATCAAAAACACGCGAATAATGAAAGCAGAGGATAGCAAACACTCTAGGGGTATTAGTCCAAAGGAAAACCTACAATTTTTCACATTAGCAATTGTTCGGCTTCGCTAAAGGCTGCGGTCGAACCACAGTAGTACACGTCGAGCAGCGCCGACGACGAAGCTGACGGGGGCACGTTCCTAGGGCTCAGAACAGCAGGGCTACGGTGTCATCTACACGCAAAAGCTCCACGCTGCAGCCGCGGCTCTTGCCACTACAACTCTCTAAAACACTGTAACAGGGACGTTTCCATTAAATTCCGCTTTATCGGCGGGAAATAGCAATGATATCAGACTGTCAACTTTAACGGTGTTGATTTCAGTATGCAATGACTTTAAGCCTGCGCCGTGCCTGTGGGTATATGGCAGCTGGTAATCTGTGTTGTGACGTCAAAGGTATGAACCACAGCCGTCTCCGTGCGCTCTCTCGTGATGCTCTTGTACGGCGACTACGGAGTGGTATGGATTTTCCGCCCCTTCAATTGAAAAAAAACGTAACGAAGATAAACGGATCTGCGGGTTTGTGAGAAATGACAACAAAGCGGCGTTCTTATGGCCACTTCCCCCGCTGCGTCATAACGAAAAAAGAATCTTTGTGTTCCACGAGTTTAGCGACCGAGCTATATTTTGTACGCCCAGTGTCCACCGCTACCGGAAGCTGCCAACGGGCGGCACGGAACGGGCCAATCGGGGTCAAAAACGGACTCCGATTTCCGGCTCGCTTTTGTCTCTTTGCTCCTTGCAGTGAGTATGGCGCCGACGAATACCTAGCAGCGAGTCGTAGAATAGTTCCGCCGCGCGAACTTCGCCGTAAATAACTACTCCGTGATGTCCGACGTTAAGTATAGTGTGCAGGCTGTATAGAGCATATAGAAGCGTGCAATCCACGGGAAGCTGGGATGCCCATTTCAGGTGAAAGAGTTTTGGACAACCAAAGATGCAAGCTCAAGTAACTCAACGGTCACGCGTTTCAGGTGCAGCATTGTAGCGAGAGTCAAATGGATCTAACCCACTCTAAATAAATTTCAAGAATCAGTTTTCCGTGCTTCGACCTTCTAATTTAGCACGAAGGTACGTCTTAGTGGTCATTTTGTTCTTGTAAATAAAGAAACAAAAAAACCTTTTCTCAATTCGAAGTTACAACTAAAAGCCATAATTTCCTATAGACCACTTTGGAGTTATGACTGTTTGTGACAGTGTAAGAGAAGTTCTGCGTATTTTTGTGACGTTGGATTTTGATGAAAACAACAAACGGGGTGAATATAATATTTTTTTTTCGTCAAATACAATGCCCCAATAGCCCACAGAAACACCTTTTCACGTTTCATCTCATAGGTATTAACTCCGTGCTGAACTACCAAAAAGGTATCTTATTTGTAACTTATTAAGATAATATTTTGCTTCGATATTTTTGCCAAAAAAAAATGACCCCTAACAATACGTTTGCACTAAATTACAGTGTCGGAGCTTACGAAACCGATATTTCATATTTATTTGAAGCGTATTGGATCCAGTCGAGCAAATATCGTAGAGTCGGCCCACATCAAAACAGAGCGACACTTCAATTGTTAGCAATATATTGTCACAGAGGTATGCGAAGAGACGATAAATAATGAACTGAAAGGAAAGGTTTAATCGGAGAACTTGTGCCAACCAAAATAAAGAACGAGCGTCGAGACTGCAGAAAAGCGGGCGGCGATTTGACGAAGTAACAGAAAGCGAGAGCGGGACTGACTGCACAAGGTCGCGGGCAGCTCCTTATCTCGTGTGCCTCGGCATCGCGAAAATTGGGCCCAGAATGTTTGAACATCGAGCGTTCGGGGTGAGAATGATCACGCACTTTCGAGAACAAGAAACTAGGGCGAAAAATGTAAAATTTACGGCCCGAGTAAGAATAAACGCGAATCATCTAGAACACAGCAATCGGGCGCTGCTTGTTCGGTCCTGCGCGCGGCCATATGATAACATAGAACTGGACAGGTCGAAGGCTTCAACATTACTGAAGTATATCCAGGTTTCTAACTTGGCATGTTTTTAGTCACTGATAAGCCCTCTTTGAATGTTTGAGACAGGGAGGACTACGAGCTTCTGTCTGGAATGGAACGGTATCAGTAATTGGACACCACTCAGTTTCCATTAATAGCCTCCAGTTTTATAATCATCATTGCCGCCTCCTTCCTCTAAACAGCCCGAAACATATCAATAGCTTGAAGGTTATACTTATTTGGATTAGCTTCGATTGCTACCCAAAAATACATAAAAATTGGTTCTCTTTGTACTGCACGTGAAGTACAAGATTTGAAGGACGCTGTGATCCAGATCGCCGAAAGCGAACAAAGGGTAGGAATATTGAGACGCAGAAGAAATTTCTCATGAAGAAAAGGAACTGAGGGCAAAATGAAGTTCAGGATTGCATACTTCATCTGCAGCTCTGAGGCAAAAGCAGCAAAGAAATCACTATGAACCTGCGGGGTCCCAAATGAATTGATTACAGTCGCCATAAAGCAGAACCCTGGAAACAAGCGCAATAGACCAGCATTCATTTTTTTACGTTCCACTTAACAATTTATTGGACTGAGGTACTACAGTAAATGTTTCTTTTTATTGGGATATACGGTAATTTCTAATGGTTAATAATTACTTTATGACAAGGTTAATAAAAGGTTATGACAAGGTTAATTTCTAATGGTTAATAATAACTTTATGTCTAATGAGTGCTTCAGATTATCCGCACAAGCCTGAGCATAGATAATATGTCTTGCTTCTTTTTAGTTCTCTTCTGGCTTGTAGTACCCTGAAGTTCGGCATTCCTTCCTGACGGCGCTGTAGTTTTGTGTGACGGCAAGGGAATCCAACTCATATATAGTTAAGGTAGAAGATCTCAGCCTGGGTGCATTGGATATTGTAATCACAGTATGTCTGCGGTTTTGCATGTAATGGGTTTTCAATATACAGCACGTACCAGGAACACTGCGGTCACTGAGTGTGATGAAAAGACTGATTCGATTGCACTTCACGGATCTGACAGCCATGAGCCTGATCATTGTGACAAAGGTCACGTACTGTAAAAAAAAATGCATGATATCTTCGCTTGCTTGGGACATACATGTTTTATAATTTTTTTTTTTTTGCTTTGCCTTCACGAGTGTGCGGCTCATATTTAGAAATTTGCATTACTATTTTCTTTAGGGGGACAAGAAACTAATCGTTTGGCTTTATAATTTACTTTTTCTGCTGACGATGGTGAATTTCGTAAGCACAGGAACAGCTACAAAGTGCTTGAGATTTGAGCCCAAGAGCTTGTGCTTCCAAAACTTCCAGGATCGTCTTCTCGTTCTGACGTTGGTGACGTCATTCCTCCAAGCGCTACGGCCTTGATTCTGGATGGTGTTGAGGTGGCTCGGGTTTAAGGAGGAGAGGGGTGTACCCTCCTCTGCGGGAGTTCCACAACTGAGTTGATCTACTAACGTTGGTGCGAGCTGTTCACTTACCCTGGCAGCAGACGCCGTATCCCTGGGCGCAGGAACCCAACACGCGCCCGGCGTAGAGACTGCACTCGGCGCTGGTAAAGCAGACCCCCCGGAGTCCGTCGCCCACGTCGCACGGCTCGTTGGAAAACTGGACCCAGTTGAAAAACCCCACTGCGAACAATGCAAAAAAAAAAAAAGCAAAAAAAAGGGCAAAAAGAAGATCGTTTGTTTTTTATCACGTAAAAAACATTTATTCACCATGTACTAGCATTGTGGAGGCTGGGGGAAAAGTTCTGTCAAAGCAGATTGAATGGTCCAGCCCCCTCACATGCACATAGCAGTGGTGAACGAACAAAAATAAATAAATAAATATTCTGTGCCCAAGTTGTTCATGTATATATTATACAATAAATCCCTTGCTAAAATAAAGTAAAACAAAAGTTTAATAAACGAAATTGAGCATTCTTTGAATTAAAGCGAAATATAACTTTATAATGATTTTGCGATTGGCAGTTTCATGATTCTGGGAAAATGGGTTGACAAAACTGAAGGAGAACAGCTGGAAGGGTTTTAGACAGGTGCCACATGCGTCGGTAGAACCTAGGTTTGTTTGGATAATAATGAGGGAGCCTTTTGATTCACGTTTGGACACAATAGTGATGTAAATAATCAGTCGTTTCTTTTTTTTTTAATATTACGTTTAAGTTTAGCGCTTGTCCCGGGTCCACCTTTATCGTCTTTGCAATTTGTGCGCTGTTTCAAGTTGAAAGCAATACATTATTCGTTAGTTTCTTCGGTCTAAAAAACTAAAGCACCGAAGACGTCTTAAAGCACCGAAGAAGAAAATCAGTTCTCTAGATAAAAAAAGTAAATATTAGCGAAACTTATTTGTGTCATAAGCTTCGATATAATATTTGGTTGCTTAAATATATTTAATAATGTGTGCAAAGCTTCGAGTCAGTTGAAGATTATAGCCTGTGGGTGACGCGTCTGATAACCAAAACTCAGTGTGACTAGTGGAAAACGTTACATTTTTTTTTTCTGAATGGTGCTAAGGATAATGGACAACTATTTACGTATCTTACTTTTTGTATTTCTTTTTTACTTTTCTTTGTACTTTACACTGAATCTAAAGTTATAACGTATATACAATTAATATCCCTAGACTTAAAAGAATGAGTGTGTTTGAAAATTATAGACAAGTTGCATATGGCTCTATGTACGTTTTCTGCAAGAAAATTATTTTGTTTAAAATAAATTGTAGTTGTACATCAAACTGACTTACAATAGATCATATGATACAAAAACAATAAGTTGTGTAAGAGCGGTTTTTACGGTAGATGGAATATCATAACCGTTTTTATGTAACAAACCAATGACACGAGCGAGTTTAGAAATAAAGTTTCGCGACCTGTTCTTCACGACATGTATCTACAATATTATGGAAAGTAAGGCCAAGCTTTATTTTTTTAGTTTGGGCTAAATACTATAGCTTTCGTGTTGTTATTTTACTTCTAGATTATTTGAACAACCTCAACATGCTAAGTTTCTTATGGTGTCATTAGCTATACGCTACACTTCTCCGCAGCTACTAGCCAAGAAATAAGCTGGTATCGTCCTCATTGGATTTCCATCAGAAAATTGACCCTAAATGTTTACCTACTGATTCCGGTCGCTTAAATAGAGATTTATGAGGAGAGAAGATTGGCCTCTAATGATATATTAAGGGGGCGGTGCAACGATATTCAATTGATATGTTTTTTTACTTTCACGAGTTTACTGACACTAATGAAACCCAAGTATACTCTCATGCAAGGCCATTGACTAAAGAACCTGTCCGTTGCGGTGTAATTTCAAGGATAAAAGCGATCGTATTCTTTCAATCGCTCCTTCGCAAAACTTGAGGTTGTAGCGTGGGGGTCGCAGTATCCCCCAGAGACGGCATTCGAATGCGGCTTACAGATTGGAGCCTAGCATTGCGTGAGCACTCAATTTGGGCTCGCGAAAATCGATAGCCCGAGAAGCCTTTGGGTAGTCGACCCTGTCCAATCATGGCCATGACGACAATAGCCAAACCCTAACAATGTCTGGAACTCAGCGCGTGTCCTGTGCTTTATCAAACCCAACGCGTCGGTATGATCAACATTGGCGTCATATATTCGGTTCTAGACTACGTGGACGCACATTCTGGCTGCGAGTTGAAGGGTTAAACGCTGCTCGTTTTTTTTTTTCTTCTGCAATTTTGATTGCGTGTGGTGAAAAACGAATGAATGTTTTATTGACCATTATTTTCAGGGATTCATTATAAGCGGTATTCGCGCGAAGTACAAAAAATAATTTCACTGCCCCTTTAAGTTTCGGAAGAAGTAACTCGTAGTTAATGCAATCCAGAGCCGTATATGTAGAGAGTTTGGTCAATGGGAGGCGCGGGCAGAGCCAGGGCGTGCGGCAGACTCGGTAAGAGGGCTTGGCATGCTCTCTTGACCAACCAGAAGCCGAAAAGAATCCCCTAGCGGTGGTAGCGAGAAACACTTCTGAGCCGATCGATCATCGAAGGTCTATGTTCGTATATGGTTTTAATAAGTGCGTAAGAGTGAAGTGTAGTAACTCTTTGTGGTTGAAAATAGGGTGCACGTGTTGTTTCAACATGATCATGCAGAAAGATGTAAGAAACGAATGCACCGCTCAACTCTGTTTTGCTCGGACAGAGAGTGACCGCTCGGACGGCAGATTCCCGGCCCTCGGCGCTTGGCGTATGGCGTATGGATTATGTCGATCGTTCCGCTAGTCGCACTCGTCCACCATCATTTTGGACGAGCGTGATTGAAACATCACGTGTACCATATTTTCAGTCATTGAGAGTTACTCTAATGCAGTTATCAGGTTTGTTTTTTGCGACCACCGCCAGGGTATTATTCCCGGCTTCTGGTTGGTCACATTCGAATTTCTGAAGACGCCCTGGAACACGCCCAGCCCGCTTTCGGCCAATGGCGCCGCTTCATTTGTCTCCTATACTTCCCAACGAATGGCCAAACTCTCTACATATACGGCTCTGATGCAATCAAACGCGTTGGTAAAATTAACAAATATGTTCAATACTACAGTCTTTTCTTCAAGATTTCGCAATATTAATTATTCTTGGCACAGCAATGGTTCTGGTGTACGCTCCTTTCCTGAACCCTTATTGAGAATTTGTGAGGATATTGTTTTTCCGTAAAGTGAGATAAGACTGCTATATATATACTTTTTTTCTAGGCTCTTTGAAGATACAGGAGGCAGTCATACTGGCTCGTAGTCGTTGATGTATTTTATAATGCCCTTTCTGAAATAGCGCAAGCTTTGCTTTCTGCATTCTTAGAAGAAATATTGCCCTCTCTATGCAGAAATTAAAAATATATGCCAGCAAGGGCAATCAAGGCTAAGTAACATTTTAAAAGTAATTAGTTACAGTAACAGTTAGATTTTCGACTATGTAATTGGGTTACAAATACAGTAACTTAAAAATAAAAGTAACGCGTTACAGTTACTTGGGAAAAATAACTTAGTTACCTTCAAGATACACTCCTGTTTTTTTTTTATTTAACTCTGGAGCAGACATGTTAGGTAGTCATTGCCAGTAATAAAATTACTTGTAATCGCTCACTTTCGGGAGTAATTTTGTAATTCTCGAATATATTTACTATAAGCAAATCGCACGAGTAATATGATTACTTTGGGAAGTACTAAAATTACTCGCAACTGTTATTATTTTCCTTTTCGCTTCCGAATGGTGCCCTTTGCACAAGTTTTATAACGAGGAATCCTCGAACAAAGCTTCCCCGACAGGAGGATTATTTACCAAAACTGACAATTATATAAACCCTTTGTAAAAAAAATCCGCGTCGTCGCCAGTCCAACATTGCTGGATCACATACTCTGAGCACGTTGTTAATATCGAGGGTGGAAGGCCGCGTCAGCGTTACGCGATTACATGGATCCGATCACACACTGTAGGTGTCCGAGAAATGGCGACAACCAAGGTTGCTTGATGGACTTTTGAAAAGGGTCGATTCGATTAGTTTTGTAATTCCGTGATTCTAATTCATTAACAGTCGGTACGAAATATCCGTTTTCAAACCAGCAGAAAAATGAGTCTTTCTGGATATGTCGAGAACTCGGAAAAATAACCGTTTTAACCCCAGATCGTTTTTCATCTCAAGTGATCGAGTTATATACTTTGAATACTTTGCAACAAAGAGTAATCGTAATTGTCATTGATCACTTTCTTCGAATAACGTGTACAAGACGGCTATGGAGACCTTCACAACAACAAAAATGACTAAAATTTACATTTATCTGGGGGTTTTCCGAAAATTCTCAAGATACTTTTTGAGATGCATTTGACAGAGACCTGCTAATATTTATTTCATGTTGTATTAAATCAGCCATTTGTTCTCGAAGTTCTCGTCACTCAATTTCCCCCTCTTGATGTCGAAAACATCCAGCCCCTCTCTTGTTCAAGAGGCATGCTCGACGGAAGTGCAGTATTTAGTCGCTACAAAACTTTTGTAATGTTGGGGAAATCGTCGATAAAGCGCGTTTATGAACAAAACCGCGAAGCACAATTGGAGGATAAAACGTATAAAGAAAAGACAACGCGATGCAGCCTAGTAATACTGTTCATAAGTACGGGTCAAAACGCACCCCGAGGTGCTTGTGAAGATTCGACGAAGATGACTTCTCGGCCAAATACTCTTTCTCGCAGTGTTTGAAGCGGGCAGTGCAGTTTTTTGTATCAAATGCAATAAGTGCCTTTCGTAACGCGTCCACGGTTAAGCCTGCCGATCGTCACTCATGACGAAATCCTTGAAAGTATTTCCCGTTTTACTTGTAACGTTCACTCTCTGTCTGTCTTAGTCTCTTTCTTACTCTTTTTCATGCAAACGAAAAGACCGGTTTATTACAAGAACGGAGAGGAAATCAGAGAATTTGTGACAGCATAATGCGAATGACCGTTACTGTCAAACAAAGTCGAAGAAAAATTTAACAAAAAAACACAAACTTGTCTTTAAATATGTTCCGATTTGCATGATTTATTTTATTACGTGCAACGTAGAAAAGAAGGGTCCACCACGGGCGCACGGCCCTTTTGGAGGTTGGCAACTCGGCTGATAGAAACGTCATTTGTAGCTAGCTTTTGAAAATGAAGTGGAAACTTGTAGGCTAGTCTCCAGAGTCGAGACTAGCCGAAAAAATGAAGGTGCTTCGCAGCTTCAAGTGTAAAAGTACAAT